TCCCCACTGTACCAACATGAGTCTTTCCAGCGTGCTTTGCCCTCACTCGCACGCTCCCCAAGAAAACTTCCCGGGGGTCACCCATCATAGAATTGCTCCAAGCCAAGCACGCTTAACTGTAGAGTTTCTAACGATGAACTTCCGGAAAAGAAAGTGCACCTTGTTGGTATGAGTTGTACCTATCAAATCTTTTAAGCTTTCCCGGGAGGGGTATTACAGATCTCGAGTGAGGTTTATTGATAGTAAAATTGATTACTGCATTTACATCTGTGTGAAATTCTATTATATGAATGATTGGTTGCTTCTGGTACATTGTTCTATGTTACATTCAATATGCTTGATATGCATTTGCATGAATTTAAGAGTGATCGTATTACTGTGTGATGTGCTTGCATGCATAGTGGTTAGAATTACTATTATGAGAATTGACACTGGATGTGTTCTTATTTTAGTGGTGCATTAGCAATAAGTATGTCATAATTGCTATATAGAGTTTAGATACCTAAGGGTACATTTGTAATATGTACGGGGTGCGTAGAGTGACATTTAAATCACGAGAGGTTATGTGATTAAATATTTGGAATCCTCTATCTATTAAGAATCCAAATTAGGTAGAGTCAGTGAATGACTTCTATTAGGTGGAGACCCATTATGTACCTCAGCTGAGAGAGGTGAGGTAGTGATAGGGAAACATCACATGGACTTAGGATCTGTTGTGGTCTACCAGTTAGGCATAAATAGTGACAAATCTAGTGAGTATGGTTGTGATAAGAGAAGATGTGTGTTCTCAAGATATGAGCTACACGGAATGGAGTAGGATAATTGTGGTGAGATCTTTTCATTGAGTAGTTTATGTATTGGTTGTATATGTTGGTCATTTACTTGATTCACTTGGTGTTAATTTGATGTTCTTTTCATGTTGAACATGTTTAAAAAGAACTATGTATTATTCTAGTTTGTGTCTTCATTGCTTGTATTATGTGCTTTTTATTGATTACTGTGATTATCTGTTTGTACTTGAGTTTTTCTTGACGTTCGTCCTTGGTGAGTACATGGTATAGGTATGGTATGTGTTTCTAATCTGATACATGAGGTAAGGTATGCGATTCCAATTTTATTTGGTTACCTTGATTAGCCAATAAACTTGGTTTTGTTTGCTTGCATGTTTATTGGGTATTAAGGTGGAGATTTTTTGGGTTTTGATACCCAATATATTCAGGACAATGAAGTTGAAACGGG